TGGCCGCTCGCGGCCCCTGCACTCCAGTGTGGGCAACAGAGTAAGACTCCAACTCAAAAAAAAAAAACCAGGAAAATTTTACTTCAACTTCTACCCACCTGCTCTATGTTCCCATTTGGGAAGAAAGTTATGGCTGTTGTTCAGTTCTTCTCCAAGGCATCCTAAACCTTCCTAGCTTGATCATAGTGTTATGAAATAGGTGATTTTCTCTTCTATTACTGATCTAAAGGTCCACTTTTAAGAGCACAGCTCTCTTATTCTGCAGCAATATACAATATAATTGTAGATTAACCATATCAACTAAATCAACTAGATAAGATCTCACTTTTTTATTCTATTGGCTTAAAAGTAATTATCTTTTTGTAGACAAAAGTGATGGAATAAACTAGTACAGATGATTTAAAAATGGCAGAGCACCAAAATCATTGGTTGAATATGAATATACGTGATATTGTGGTAACTGACAAAACTTCAAAAGTATTAAGTCATGGTCTGAAGACATAACTCAGAAAAAAATAAACTGTCCATTTCCTATGCTCATTCCCCCATCCATCAATATGTTAAAATCAAATTGCCTATTTCAAGGGCATAAGATAGGCTGCATTCCATAACACTAAACCAAAAGTAAAACCACAGGTGTTATTTAGAGTACGTGTAAGGAGCCCAGAAACAAGGGAGGAGAATGGTATGTATGCCCCATATCTTCCCTGGGTGAGGAGGATAATTAAGATCATCTAGGCCTCCTTAAGCTACATGAAGCCAAGGAAATAATGACAGTGAACAGGACCACCCAGCTCTGTACTCCCCTCATGTTCTGCAGTTTTTTAAAAACAACTGAAAACCCTAAATATCCAGGACAACTTTATCAGTTAGGAAGAGTAATAAAATAACAGCCAAAGGCACTATAACTTATTTAATTCTGAAAACAGCCCATGATTATCCCTGTATCACACAGATAAAAAAAAAAGTGAAGGTACAGATGGTTAAGTATCTAACCCAGGCCCTAGAACTAGTAAATGGAAAGTTCATCTTTTCTACAAACCAAGTCTCTCAGTCTTTCCCTGCTATGAAATACAGTCCAATGACACCAAAGGTGGCACTGTATGACATTATATGTGCACATATATAAAATCTGATGACATACCTCCCTGATGTATTTTCCATTCCTACTTATGTCCCTTTCAAAGTTACAACTTTGCTGTATTCCCTGCTATGAAAACAATGCCACTACGACACCTTAGGGAAAATTAAGGTAACTGAAGGAAATCAACAATCATTTCTACTGTGCACAAAGTGCAGATAAGGGTACACCATCATATACCAACCTTTGGGTTCACCACCACCATTAGGGCTCAGGTTTGTCCAGAAAATGCTGTGATTGATATGACCTCCGCCATTAAACTTCAGTGCAGACTGAAGAGCTATCTGAGTTGTCACATCTCCTGAAAAGTTAAAATGCAAAACATATTTTTTTAAACTCTTACTTTTTCAAACACTCTATACGTGGTTTTTTTTCTTTATAAGGTATCAGATAATGGGATCAGTTCTAAAATTGAGCAATTTCAAATTCTACCAAAAAAAAGGACTCCCCAAAATAATTTGTCCCAGAAGATTTTGTTTTTCTTTTTTTTTTTTTTTTTGAGTTGGAGTCTCACTCTGTTACCCAGGCTGGAGTGCAGTGGCACGCTGCTCACGGCCACTGAAGCCTCAACCTACTAGGCTCAGTGATCCTTCCACCTCAGCCTTCCAAGTAGCTGGAACCACAGGCATGTGCCACCACACCTGGCTAATTTTTTAAATTTATTGTAGAGACAAGGTCTCACCATGTTGCTCAGGCTGGTCTCAAACTCCTGAACTCAGGCAACCCTCTTGCCCTACCTCCCAAAGTGCTGGGATTATACCATTGAAAAAAAATGTATGGCCCTATACAGAAGAATGTTAAAACATTAAAATTTATTGCCGGGTGAGGTGGCTCACGCCTATAATCCCAGCACTTTGGGAGGCCAAGGTGAGAGGATTGCCTGAGCCCATGGGTTCAAGACCAGCCTAGGCAACTTGGCAAGACCTCATCCCTATAATACATCAAAAAATTAGTTGGGCATGGTGGCATGTGCCTGTAGTTTCAGCTACTTGGAAGGCTGAGGTGGAAGGATCACCTGAGCCCAGCAGGCTGAGGCTGCAGTGGCCATGAGCAGGGTGCCACTGCACTCCAACCTGGGCAACAGAGTAAGATGAGACTCAGAGTCAACAACAAAAAAAACCTCTCAATTATTTTATTTTTAAATTTTTTATTGTTTTAAAGACAGGATCACAGTGCCCATGCTAGAGAACAGGGTGCATCCTCCTTTGGCCTTCCCCATCTCCTTGGTCACTTGACATCATTTCTGACTCCTCTCCCCTCACTCACATCCAGTCCACGAGCATATCTATTCATCAGCAAATCCAGTTCTACCTCCCTTCTTCCTACTCAGCTGCCACCCACTGGTGCAGATCACCAGCATCTCCCACCTGCACTGGTGCCACAGGACATCTGCCCCCTCCAAAGGCTTCCCTTCTCACTGGAAGCGAACCCTAAGTCCTTACACTCAGCTACTCTTCCTACAAAGAGGCACCTGACCCCGCCCTGCACACTCCCTCACCCAGTCACAGTCACCCTGGCCTTTCTGCACTCATATGACTAATTCGCATGTTCCGCTCAGGGCTGAGTGAAGACTGCTGCCTCTGCTGGAACACCTTCCCGCGATAGCCTCATGCTCAGTCCCTCGTTTCTTCTTCAAGTCTCCTCTGAAAGGTCAACCTCATCAGTGAAGACTTGGCTAGCCCTGGTATATGAATTAGCAATTCCCACCACCACTGCCAGACTCCTTATTCTGCTGTCTTTCTTGATAGGCCCTATAACTCCTGGCACACTGCATGTGTCCTTGTCTATCTGTCTCCCTGATGGCCTATAAGGTCTGCTGAGGACAAGGACTTTTGTGCATGACTATGTCCCCACAGCCTAATATATTGTCTTATACACAGTAGGCCTTCAATAAATATTTGTTGATTGACTAGATGATTTAATATATTGAATGTAGTTCCTAAGGAAAAAAGTTCTTGGTATCTATAATTTTAAAAAAAGAATGTCACATTTGAGGTTTTTTTAATATTGGAAAATATGGTTTATTTAGAAAGTAGATTAGAGAGAGAGAAAAAAGGGAGATCCACCTCCCCCAGATTGGGGAGGGGGTCAGAGCTGACAGAAAAGCATAACCATGTTTTTTCAAAACACTGGAAAAAATAGAAACCAAAAAGCCTTTCTTCTATCTTGCTAAACAAGTAGACAAAATAAAATATTCTTTTCTATGCATTCAAGAAGCTACAGATTAACTGAACTATTAGAAAAAATTAAAATCTCCTTGTTCAATGAATACTGAGTGCTTATTATTCACAAGATACCAAGAAAGTCAAAATAAAGAACATAGAGATCCACTGAGAGCTCTGCTCTCAAGGAGCTTACATTTTGGAAAAGTTCTAGACTGCTGTTCCTGATAGTCCATGTTAATAACATGTAAACATTGCATGGCAGGGCACAATGGCACATGTCTGTGATCTCAGCACTTAGGGAGGCTGAAGCAAAAGGATGGCTTGAGCCCAGGAACTTAAGACCAGCCTAGGCAATGCAGCAAAACCTCATTTCTACAAAAAAAAAAAATCAAAAAATCAGCCAGGCACTGTGGTGTGTGCCTGCAGTCCCAGGTAGTTGGGAGGCTGACGTGGAAGGACCACCAAAGCTTAGGAGGTAGTGGCTACAATGAGCTGTGATAGTGCTACTGCACTCCAGTCAGGGTAACAGAGTGAGACCTTGACTCAAAAAAAAAAGCAGTGAAATAATGCTGCTTTCTGAAACAAGGTCAAATCTCCAAGTTGCCTGGCAATTCAGAAGGGAGGAGATAACCAAGTGAAACTTGAATACACAGCTAATTTCTTAAGGGTTTTTTCCTTTAGATACCAACTTTTTTTTCCCTTTGCTGTTGTTGTATTTACAAAATAATTTTTTCTTCTCTTTTCTTTTCTTTTTGAGTTGGAGTCTCACTCTGCCGCTCAGGCTGGAGTGCAGTGGCACTCTCACGGCCACCTCAGCATCGACTTGGTGGGCTCTGGTGATCCTTCCGCCTCAGCTTTCCAAATAGCGGGAACTACAGGCACGCGCTACCATTCCCGGCTAATTTTTTTTGATTTATTGTAGTGACAAGGTCTCACCAAGTTGCCCGGGCTTGTCTCAAACTCGAGGGCTCAGGTAATCCACTTGTCTTGGCCTTCCAAAGTGCTGGGATTACAGGCTGAGCTATGGAGCCCAACAACAAAGTAATTTTCATATGGATCATTATTTCCCTTGTTAATTTTTCTTATAATCACCCTAAAAATAAATGCAGGTTTTATACTGTTTTCTAACAAATCAATTTAAACTAAACTTTCCTAATGGGTACAATATATTCTTACTGTGAGATAATTTAATAATCTCAACATCTTAAGTTGCCTAATCATTTTAAAATTCTAATACAAACTTCAAGGGCTGAATATCTGTTTTTAACAACACTTTTCTAAAATTCAACATTTTCTCTGGTTTCAGTTTTTTTCTGTCAAATAAAATAAATGTTTTGGTCAAAAAGTATTTACGGCCAGGCACTGTGGCTCACATCTGTAATCCCAGCACTTTGAGAGGCAGAGGCAAGAGGACTGCCTGAGCCCAAGGATTCAAGACCAGCCTGGGGAACATGGTAAGACCTCTTCTCTACAATAAATAAAAAAATTAGCCAGGCATGGTGGTGTGTGCCTGCAGTTCCAGTTACTTGGAAGGCTGAGGTGAAAGGCTCGCCTGAGTCCAGCAGGTCAAGGTAGCCATGAGTGTGCCACTGTACTCCAGCCTGAGTGACAGAGTGAGATTCCAACTCAAAAAAAAAAAAAAGTATTTATGTTAGCCAGTTACATGTCATGAGATCAAGACATTACTTTACTTATATTCTTTTTTCCCAAGTTTTCAAACATAAACATTTAACTTTTTAATAATTTTTAAAATATATATTTTTTTAAGTAAAAGAAAGGTCTATAGGTACCCATTAACTTGTAAGCAACATAGTACAATATAATATGAAGCTTTTTTCCAGTGGTTCTCATTAAACAATTTTGTAAAGCTTGGATTCTCCAAGAAAAGGACTGGAATTAAGCTGTTTTTAAAACCCTGGTTTCCTAGGTGTCAGATGCTGCCTTGCAGGAAGTCCTTTCATAACTGGGATATTCCCCAGCCTCTCCCCAATACCACATTTTTCACGCATGTGTTATTTTCTAAATCACAAGGTCTTTTCCCGTATTCAAGGTTCATTCAAGGTTCCTCTGTCTCAAGTAAATCTTCCAAAATGTGGTAACTTCCTCCTCTTTTAGTTTAGTCATTTACCACAAACACAATCAGGCTGAAATACCATGTTTTTCCACTAGATGCCCCCAGTCAACAAGATGTCATCATCAAAAATTACTCAACAAAATTTCATAAGCAGGCCTGAAAATCAAAATACATTTCAAAAAAAGTGACTTTTCGTCTTTACAATGTAGCTTACCCAGTGATACAGATAGTCTGGAAACATCACTATCAGTTATCTTCCTTATGCAAAATCACCAACATTAGAAGGACAATACTATTTTGGATAGACATTAAAACATAGTATTTCCATTCATACCATCAAAAGCACAAACACAGTAAGTGCACACACTATTGGTATGGTCAACTGAACTCCAAAAAGTTAACTCTAGGCCAGGCGCAGTGGTTCAGCCTGTAATCTCAGCACTTTGGGAGGCTGAAGCAAGAGGACTGCCTGAGCCCAGGGGTTCAAGACCAGCCTGGGCAGCTTGGTGAGACCTTGTCTCTACAATAAATTATAAAAACTAGCCGGTCATGGTGGTATGTGTCTGTAGTTCCAGCTACTTGGAAGGCTGAGGCAGAAGCATCACTTAAACCCAGCAGGCCGAGGCTGCAATGGCCGTGACTGTGCCACTGCACTCCAACCTAGGCGACAAGAGTGAGACTCCAAATCAAATCAAAAAAAAAAAAATGTTAACTCTATATTTTAATTGAATTACAAGTATCAGTAAATAGGCACAAGCCTGTTTCAGTTTCCCACAAAATGACTACTTTCCTTGTGAACTTTGAGCTCCTAAGTTAAATCAAGAAAAGTATCAAGCAAAGGGCCTGAACTGCTCCAGTTAGGTAACTGCTTCTTGGTAATGAACTTCATAATACTAACTCCTGCTGCTTCTCCCATGCGAGGTAAAGTGGATTATTGATGTTTCACAGTGCAGGGACAGCTCAGGGTGCAGGGACTCTCCAAGTCCTAGGCTGGACTCAAGACACCGTTAGCTCCCAGGAAGATGACTCCAGTTCCTATCCTGAAGCAGTCTCCTCAGTCTCCTGCCTTCACTGTGACCAAGGCCTGGGGCTATTGATTCAGCAGCTATACTGCACTTGAAAAAGGAGGCAGTGAGGCTGTCCATTTCCACCTGCTGTCCTGACACACACACTCTGGTTGCTGAGAGCCAAACACTAATCTCACTCCTATCAGGAGGTTACTCTGATCTCAGGGCACTTGCATACCTGATAGCATCTGGTCCACAAGCGTACAGGCCTCCTGCAAATGGCTGGCAGGCCTACTACCTGAGAGACCAAAGTTTCCCGAGAGAGTATATTATATAAGAATAACAATTTCAACTGTTAGTCTGCAAAAATGAGTTGTATATTACAACTTTTTAAAAAGGTCCTATAACTCACCAATGCTAGCAATACGGGAAACAAAAATGTGATTTACAATTTTAAAATTCATAGGCAAGTTCCTTTATGGGATCCTACGTTTTCTGAGATAATAGAAGTTTATACAAACCAGTGAAGACACTCACTCTGCAATGAAACAGATCACTATTTCAAAAATAGAGATTTTCGTGACTGGAAAGCTCAGAATTGGTCCAAACACGAGCCGGTGCTCCTGCAGGGAGAGGCGTGGCTGTATGGAGACCCAGCTCCCTGTCACATCTGCCCCTGAGCCAGCTTCCCACCGCCCAGCAGCCTTGCACCTACCCTTGGTCAGCGCCTCCCGGTACTTCTCCTCGGTGATGTTCAAGTTGTTCACGTAGGCCGCGTGGTGCTTGTTGTGGTGCAGCTGCATGATCTGGCCGTCGATGTATGGCTCCAGAGCACCATAGTCATAAGGCAGGTCGGGGAGACTGTGCTTCTGCCTGGAGCCCAGACACCCCAAAGCCGGTGCCAGCTTCCTGCTGCTGCTGGAAGACAGAAACACAAAGACCGGCTCAGTCCGCGTGGGCCGAGCCTGTCCACGCAGACCAGGCTGCAAAGGAGCCGAAGCACGCAGCGTCCTCTGTGTACTCGCCGCATCCAAGCGCTGGCCTCCACGGCACACGCACGGCCTCGGCAGCCCGGCCTGCTCGCCACGGGAACACCCGCCGCCCGCAGCAGCCCCCAGCTGCGGCCGCCACGCCCGGGACCTTCGGGAGAATCTCCCGCGGGTACCCCGGACCCGCCAGGCCCGGTGCGGCTGCTGTGGCCGCGGAAGTCCTGCCAGCCGCGCGCCCCTTTGCCCTTGGGGCTACGGCCGCGTCCCTGCTACGGGTACCCGTCTCTCACCCGCTCGCCACTCGGGACAACATGATGCTGAGGCTGCCGCGGCGCTGCCCTCCGGCCTTCTGCGAGGGTCGGGGACTGCAAGACGTACCCGGCCGCGCCGCAAGGGCAGCGCGGCCCCGCCCCGCCCCGCCCCGCCCCGTCCGCCTG